TGTGTGTCTGCATCTGTGTGTGTGTTTGCCTGTGTGTGTGTATGTCTGTATCTATGTGTGTCTATGTATGTGTCTGTGTCTGTGTGTGTCTGCTTCTGTGTGTGTTTGCCTGTGTGTGTGTGTGTCTGTGTCTGTGTATCTGTGTCTGTGTCTGTGTGTGTCTGAGTGTATGTGTACTTGATATGCTTCTGTGTGAGGAGCAGGTGGTAGGTCACACGGGTTTAAGTGGCAGGACTGGGTTCTAAGCCTGGGTGAGCCTGACCCACTTTCCTTGCCACCAGGCAGCTAAAGCAAGGTGAGCTGTAGCCTGGGTGGACCGTGTCCCCCAATCGTCCCCCAGAACAAGCTGCTTCAAAGGGCAAGCCCTGTTCACAGCAGCCTCAACCCTGAAAGATGAATGGGTGTCAGAGCGTTGGGGCAAGCCAGTGAGTTGTCACTAAAACACACTCCAGAACAATGCACTTTGTGCGAAGTGCAGCTGCCAGAGCAGCCCCACACTTGGGAAGAGTCTAGGGAGGGTGGAAAATCTGCGACCCCGGATTCTCACGAATTCCAGAGTTGGGGTAGGGCTTGAGAGCAGGGACTGGGGGACAAGGAGGCTGTTTCCAGCTCCGCTCTGCTTTTCGCTCACACAGTGGCCTGGGACACCTTCGAGAATCTTCTGAAGCCTCGATTTCCTCACCTGAGAAATGGAGATATTGCACTTGCAGCATTTAGACAGCACTCTCAATACAGGTGAACTACCGTATAAGTGTAGGACGCCCCACTGCCAGGGGCTTGGTCGGCCTGTACCATTGAGAAAGCACAAATGCATCGTCCCAAGGACACGGTGCTTGCTTATTATTTAGTTTTTATTTGATATTTACCAAAAGAGTTCTTTTTGACTCATTTCCACATAGATTCCGATTGTATAACACTTGGGCAAACACACAAAAAAAGAAGATATGAACGAAACAAACAGATCATGGAATACCCTAGATGTCTTCGCTTGCAGAGACCAGCTGTTCCAAATCAATTCTGGTCTCGGTGTGATTGAGGTCTCTGTTTTTCCTGTGTTGCCAAGAGTACAGGTGGCCAAAGCCATAGGTTCTTAAATCTGCTTCACCATGACCGCGTTTCATCAAATATGAGGGATCATTGCATGTAAGACGTACCCTACCGTCAAAATGTGGAGGAGTTTGGGACACATTTCTTAGTCTTGATGAAAAAAGAGAGAAAGAGGCCTACATTACTTTCGACTCTTACATCCAACTCATGGCTTCCTTCAGCCCCTCTGCACAACCGTTTGATTTTGTTCCCAGCTATTTGCACCCGTGCTAGGAGTTCTGATGCTGGCGCTTTGGATGTTTGCCCAGGTCGGGCCATGACAACGATGTCGTGACTGCCACCTGTGGTACAGTGATGTAAAATTTGCAAACTGATTCGTAGATACGCAGCTAAAGGAGCAGCTGCCGTCTCGACCGTTGCGAGGCACCATGCCTGAAGGTGTTCATTGGCAATGAAATGCTCTAGCCTCACAGCTCATCTGCTGGCTGTGTGTAGGAGAAGGGATGCCATGTCCCCACCACCAGGGAGCAGAAAGCACAATCCTACCAGGTGCTTAGAGAGTAAGGTCCAGAAATATTTGGTGACAGGCACTAATGTCTACTACAGGCAGCCTTCTAGTCGCAGTCAACGCAGCGTGGGCATCGTATGGGCCTGGAGAGTCAGCAGTGAACGAGGTAGACTCAGAGAGCACTGACGGTCTAGTCGAGGAGACAGACAGTGGACAAGCCATGCCAGTTAATGATTTAATTGCATCCGTGGCAAGCACTGCAAAGGAGACGTGCAGGGAGCCAAACGCGGTGGGGTAACCTCATCGGGGGTGTTTTGAAGGCCTCCCTTTGGCACTAGGCTAATGTTTAAGGCAAAACCTAAAGGATGACCAGCGGCTCTCTAGATAAATGAGTAATGAGTGGACTGGCCTTCTGAGAAGTGGCAGAGTGTTTCCGAAAGCCCTGTGGCCACAGGAAGTGCCATCTTTTCTAGGAACTGTGAAAAAAATCATCTTTGCTAGACAGAGAGCATGGAGAGTGAGACGAAGCTGGAAAGATCAGGTCCTTCATGGCCTTGTAAGACAGGTTTATGACTCTGGCTCTTATCCTAAGAGCCAGTGGGAGCCATGGATGGTTTTCAGAAAGGAGTGCTGATGTAATGTTGGACAGCGCCCTCTGGTGGCTGTGTGAGTGGCACCTTCATGTTGTGGGCAGCACAGGGCTGTAGAAATGGGCCAGGACCCGTCCTGAGCTTGATTCTAAGCCTTCCTATACATGCAGTCCTTCTGAGACTGCCTGCCCCACTGGAGGACACAGCTCTCAGGGCCCAGCCTCCCGGTTGGCATACCACCAAGCCACACTCTCCAGGTGACAGCAGAGGACAGGCCAACGCTGCATGGAGCAGACCCAGACAGCAAAAGGGCTAGCTGGCTTGAGTTTTCTCCAAGGGGTGCCTGATTTCGGTCTGACTTCAGACATTGAGCGCAGGGAGGAGAGAGATCCTGATTGCCTTCCCTTAACCACGCTGGAGGGGCCTTTAATCTCAGACCTTAGCTGAGCGTGTACACGGTGTTATCTATTATTCAGACAGCCAGCCAGCCAGCCAACGAATGGAGATGGATGACGACAACTCAAATTCTCCACGTTACCAACGGCAGATAAACCGCAAGCAGCCGGGAGAAGGGGCTCTGATAGTGGCTGCCGGGACCCTCCCTCACATGCCAGTGGTCTGTTTCTGCTAGAAACTGCAAATACTTATCACAAATCGCCTGTGAGTAATTAGCCACAACTGGGATACTTCCTCAAAGTACAGCCTTGAGCCAGAGACTTTTATCAGCTGTTTTTCGTCTCTATTTTCTTATCCATTTCAGATAGGATGCAGAGCCAACTGAACGTTTTGGAAAGAGAGATGTTTTTCTCCTTCGTGTTCAGAAAGTAAGACGTGTGCCAGTACAACAGCGCCGAAGGGGTGGTCAGAGTCTCGCGTCTCCCTCTCACTCCTGAACCCCCTTTTTCCTTCCCAGTTACGAGTCTTCTTGTTTTACAAAAGTTTTGCTCCCACGAACATGCCATTCTTTGCTGACTACTGGCTTTGCTTCTAGAGGGGAAGTAATTTCCTTTGGGGGTGCCCCCCACCAGCAGCCCTTCTGCTATCACAACCAGGTCACGAAATGTGGCTTAGTGTCGAGGGAGGAGGGGAACAGATACAAAGGGGTAAACACTCGGCTTTGAGGCTCGAAATAGCTCTTTTGACATTTTTTAAGTCCCTGGTGAGACAGTGGTCTTGAAAGCCAGGCTTTCGAGCGTGAGTAAATGCTCCTGGAATTCCTAGAGCTAGGCGTTCTCTCCTGAAGAGACACACATGGAAACTGACCTTGGAGTGAATCAGAGAGAAGGTCCAAGATGCAGCTGAGGAAGGAGAATAGCACATGGAGGCAGATGTCAAAAGTATGATGGCGTGAGGGATCTCCCCGATCTCTCTCCTTGAACTAACAATAAGCCAAACATCTAAAACTCAACAAATAACACCTAACCTGCACACAAGCACGTATGAGTGTGTGATCTGCACCTAAGAAAATGGCACACGGAGAGGAAGAGCTTCTGAGAGGGACAAGGGTGAAAGATGAGAACCTGGCTGCAGCCCTCCAGGTAGAGAGAGAGAGACTTGCGTGGCCCTTCCCCACTCCCCAGAGTGGGCTTGAAAAGATGGCCCACGGCAGAGAACCTCACTGTGGGCTCACGTAGCAATCAGGGTCCAGCCCGGGAAATAAACGCCCCTCTGAGCATTTCTACGAGGGATGAATGCAGGAAATGGGTTACGCTGCTGACAGCACGGCTGAGAAGCCAAACAGAGCTGTGAAGTGACCTCGAGTTCGGTTGCCGCAGGAAGCCGCCTCCACTTCTGGAACCGAAGGGACAGGAGGAAGCAGAGGGGCCGGGGTCGGGGAGGAAGCGAGAACACAGAGGCTTAGCCGGGGGAAGCAGGAACCGTGGAGGAGACAGCAGCACCACCTGAGAGCTAGTCGGAAGGGGAGGAGGGAGCACCCTCCTCTAGATTCAACAGGTTCCACGCCTCAAATAATATAATGCAAGTGACAGGTCGCAATGTGGCTCCCAGAGTGAAAAGGTCCCGATGCGAAAGCCTGAACACGGTTTGGATAGGATTATTTTGTGAAATGTCAGAGTAAAAATTAGCACTATTTCTAAAGAAATTACTAACATGGTTTTAAATATGTATATGTAAATTAATAAATTAAATATTATAATTTTTTAAAAAACGAGAGCAGAGAATGATTCTCTGCTCATTTTTGCACATCTTGAACCAAAGGACAAACAAGCCCGGAAGCTGGTGCTGCCTGCCCCACTCCATCTAAGATGGACACAGGAGTTGGACTAAATAGAATAAGCATTTACTGGAGAATTGCAATTCCAGAAGACACAGTTGAGCTAGGCTTAAAGGTCTGCCCCGCCCCCCAGTATCTCAGAAGCAAAGATTATACAGGGAAATGTCATTCCTCATGGAAACTAAGAAAGTTGGTGTCTTGGGTGCTGCTGACTGGACGATTACAAGATGAGGTAATTAATCATTGTGTCAGGTTCTGGAATGAGCCATGGTGCCTCACCGTCTGGTCCGTGACCTGGTTCCTTGGCTGGTGGGGCTGTAGTTTTGCCTCGATGGGCCTGGACTGAAAAACATCTAAAGCCAAGATGTTATCCTTTGCCTAAAGTCTAACCAAAACCTATTGTCCTCATGATTATAGACTTGAGGCTCGGTTAATCTTTTGTCCTAAGGCTTAATGATTAAAGGAGCAGGCAGATAGAGGATGGGGGTGGGGATCGGAGAGGGTTAAAGGCAAGTGAGTCACAATGCCATTATTTGGGCAAAAACAGCCTGAATCAGAGGGGGGGAATACTGTATTAAAGAAATTAAGTTTGTATTAAGAAATTAAGCTATAGTGTAAGAAGAGGTAAGGCCAGGGACACTCTGAAGCCTATAATACAGGGGTCCTTGCATCAGGTCCTTCTTCAGTCTGAGTCACTGTCTGTGATTTCGACAACCCCACTGCACTGGTTGAGAAGTGCCTGTTGATGCCATAGTTACACGTTATTCAGTGGTCCCTTTGGCAGCCGAGTTTTTTCTACAAACTCAGCACCCTCTTCATCATTCTTGTATTTTAAGTATCTTTTTGCAGGGAAGGAATTACTTCTTAGAGTGGAGTTGAAATTTGATCCCATATGGCGTACTAGTTAAGGGCATGCTAGCTGCTGTAACAAGCAAATCTTCACATTTCAGTGACTTAACACAGTGGAAGTTTTTTTCACTCAATAATGCAAAACAGGTGTTAAATGAGTGGTTCTTCCTGTGGGCAATTTAGAGACCAGGCTCCTCTTCTCTGTGGCTCTGCCAACCCCCAGGAGCCCTTTTAAGAGAAGCACAGAACTACCACTCAGATTCCACTGGCCAGAATTCAGTCACATGGCCACACCTGACTACAAGGGATGCTGGGAAATGTAGTCCAGCTGTGTGCCTAGGCGGAAGAGGAAATGGGGGAAGTGAACAGTCAGCCAATCTTCCCACAGCGAACCACAGACGATAGCCCCTGCGACGCCATTAAACGCCCTCCAGCAGATGGAGCTCTTTGAAAGCCTACCCATTAGAACTCAGTTCTGTGTCTGTGAGCTGCAAAGCAAATCTCACTTCTATGCTCCCTGTACCTGGAACAGGAGGACTGGCTTGGAGGCCCATTTATTCATTTATTTAGCAAACAACTACAGCGATGCGTAAGACATGCTTCCCGTTCTCTGGGGGCTTTCTGTGTTTCTGGAGCTAACAGACTCAGGAGGAGAACTGCTGAACAGGGGGATGACGCCAGAAGCCCACTCCATGCACCTGTGGAGCAGGAGGTTGCCTCGGAGTTTCAGCTAAAGACCCACAGCTGAGATCAGCTCACGAAAAGCCTCTTCACGTTCTCAGCAGGGCACTCTGCCTTCTCTCTCCAGGGCTCACCGAGAAAGGCCAGACCTCTGACCCTCACCACCTTCGACCCATCCCACTCTTCCAAGCAGGTGCCAGGCTCTGGGAGCTGGAGCTTATGCACAGGTGAGTTATTTCTGTTATTGATGCATGTGGCCATGAGTTATTAGCATACAGTAGGGTTTCTCAACCTCAGTCCTTTTGACCATCGGGACTGGATAACTCCTTGCTGTGTGTGGCGGAGTTGGAGGCAGCCCTCTGCACTGTAGAATATTTTGCAGCATCCTGACTTCTAACCACTAGATACTGTTAGTGTTGCAGGAAGTGACACCCGACAGAGGAGATTGGACGCTCAGACAACTTTGTTAGAGGAAGGAGAATTTATTGGCTGGTGGAGCGCATGGGGTTAACAACTCCATGCACGATCTGCCCTTGGCTAGGTTTCTTTCAGCTTATATACCCTTGCAGTGTCCATGCAAGGGGCGCGTAATTCCTTTGAGGTTTCACGTGTTCTTCATGACTCAGGATGGGAAGGGGAGCTTTTGGGGGAGGGGGCTGCAAGGGAGGAAGAATTTCCAGATCACTGGTCTTATCTATTTACAGGTCGTTTTGCCTTGTAGAACCTGCAACCTTGGCGTTATCAGCACTGTTATAGAATGCTTGGAGAGATGGGACTCCGAGGCTATAAACAGAAAGTAGCACTTATTGATGCTGGCACCGGCTCAGCGGATTCCTATCCAAAGGCCGAGCCCTGATTGTAACATAGCAAGTAGTTTTACACAGTCTCGTTATTCCTACACAGCTACAGAGATAAGGAAAGACATCAGTTGGAAAGCAAGCTATGAATCAACAGATGTGAGCTGGAGAGTCCTGGAGGTGGGGGAGAAGCCAGGAATGGACTTTAACCGGCTGAGTCGGTCATTTCTGCAGGCCTTTTCCTTTGCATTTTTCAGATGCCTCCTCTCCTCTCTCATTCCCTCTTCGAGACTCTAGACGTTCTATTTTTATGCTGGAGTCTCACATTCTCCATCTACGCCTTCCTGGGGGATCTCCTGATAGTGGTGGGTAAAGTCCATGTGGGCTGCAGCTCGCGGCTGTACTGTGGCTTCCACCATGCCTTTTAAGCTTTTTATCAGCAGGGGCAGCAGATGTGGCCCTATCAGGCAGATTCCTAGGAGTAGTAAAACTGTTCCTATTGAGGTTTTAAACCTACCGAAGGCCGAAAACCATCCCCCCAAAAGGCTACTGGGGTGTCCTACAATTCGATTCAATCTGACACTAACTACTCAGAGTCGGCACAGAGCCCACAGGTTAAGGGCTCAGTCTAACAAAAAAACCCCTAGTTTAGATGCCAGTCACAATTAGTGGGTCCCCAGATTACCCACACTTCTGTCAGATTTGGCTATAAATCTGAGGTTCCCACGACCCCTCCTCAGGTTCAATAATTTGCTGTAACAGCTGACAGAACTCACGGAAACCCTTTCCTTACTTTACTGGTTCGTTATAAACTTTATAAAGGATACAAAAAAGAGCCAGATGAGAAGTACATAGGGTGAGGTCTAGAAGCATGCTGAGTGCAGAAATTGCTGTCCTCGTAGAGTTTGGGGTGTGCCACCCTCCTGGCACGTGGCTATGTTCACTACAGAAGCTTTCAACTCCTCTACTTAGCGTTTTATGGAGGTCCTATGACATAGACATGATTGATTAAACCGCTGACCATTTCCAGCCCCTCTTCCTTCCACCTGGAGGTCAGGGATGGGGCTGCCAGTTCCAACGCTCTCGTCACATGGTTGGTTCCTCGGGCAATCAGTCCCCTTGCTGAAGCTATGTAAGGGTCCACCAAGTCACCTCATTAGCATAAATTCAGGTGTGGCTGAAAGGGGCTTGTGAGGAATAACCAAAAACACTCCTCTTACCGCTATCAGGAAATTATAAGTTTTAGAAGCTCTTATGCCAAGAACTGAGGACAGAAACCAAACATATATATTTCTTATTCTAGCACAACTTCACGGTAGAGAATGAGTGTGGCCACAGTAAATTGGAATGATTTAAAGTCAGGAGACCCAGCTTCAAACCCCAGCCGTATCACTCATCGGCTGAGCGACCGTGATCAAGTCCCCTCGTCCCACTCTGTTTCCTCATCGGGAAAGTGGGACTGCTGCTCTTGGTGAGAGAATTCACGCGACGTCATCTGTCCTTGTAAAGCTGGTTGAAATCCAAAACAAATGCGCTTCTTGCACGCAAAAGCATCTGACACTGAGTCTGTTTGTGAACGGCGATTTTCTGGATGAATCAAATAAAGTCAAAAGATGCTACTGAGTCTGTGAACGGTGATTTTCTGGATGAATCAAATAAAGTCAAAAGATGCTGGGTGTTGAGCAAGTGGGGTTTATGTGCCTGCCTCAGTGTGGACACAACATATGCTCCCTGTAAATGCACAGAGCCTGCCAAAGAGTTCGGTGCTATTTGAAGGCACCGAGAGGGATTTCAATAAGCGCGGTGGCGTCATAGCTTAGGCCTCTTTAAGGATAAGAAGTGTAAAATCCAATCCTAAACTGATGATGGTGTCCTAAGCCAGGTTCACTTTACCTACATAACAGTACCCTAGTGCTATTTAGTGTTACAGGGAAAAACAAACAAAATAAAATAACACCAAAACAACAACAAAAACCCCATTCTTGGGAGAACATGAAGCCTGATGGCCTTTCTGTGAGAAGCCCTGCTTGGTTTTGGATTTCAGGCAGGTTTGTGAGGGAAGCAAAGGGCCTGGTCCCATGGAAATTTCCTAGTAGGATTTATTTTGAAGCAAAGGTTTGGCGGCCCTGGCTCAGTCTCTTTGGCTAGACAGTGCCTCTTTGAAGAGAGTCAAAAACAGCAGAAGGATGGGAAATGGTCTTTGAATGAGCTGGTTTTAGTGGAATCCTCTTCTTCCGAAAACTGCCGAAAACCAACCTAGGCATCCCTTGCTTTATGGAATTCAACTCAACTCACCTGTGGTCAGCAGAATACTGTCCACCCCTCCCCCCAAGATGTCCTTGCTCTAATTCCTGGAACCTGTGCATATGAGACCTGACATGGCAAAAGGGACTGTGAAGATGGGATTGAGTTGAGGACCTTGTGAGGTGGAGATGATCCTGGGTTATCCAGGTGGGCCGGTGTCATCGCGTGGGTCTTTAAAATCAGAGACCCTTTCCCAGCTGTGTGCAGAGAAAGACATGACGATGGAAGAAGAGATGCAATGTTGCAGGCTTTGAAGATGGAGGACGGGGCCACGAGCCAAAGAAATGAGCTGCTAGTAGCAGCTGGAGAGGATGAGGAATAGGTCATCCCCTAGCACCTCCAGAAGGAAGGCATCCCTGCCAATGCCTTGATTTAGCCCAGTGAGACCCACGTTGGACTTCCGCCTTGCAGACTGTAGGATAACGTGTGTTGTTTAAGCTGCAAAGTTTGTGGAAATTTATTACAACGGCAATAGAAAACCAATGCATAATCTTTCTTGAGCACCTACTATGTGCCCATTCCTGGGATAGAATCTCTAATCTTCATGACCACCTATGACATTGAGCTTGTGATCTCATTTTACAGATGAGGAAACTGAGGCTCAGTGTGCTGGACTGACATCCGAGAGGCCCTGAGCCAGGACGGCTGACTCCAGGCTGCCCTGAGCCTCTGGCTGCTCACAGGTGAGATGGGTGTGTAACTACTCTAAGTGCGAGGTGAGGACTGGATGTGAATGTGTATGCAGTGCATGGCAGGTGTTTAGTCAATAATACTTCTCTCACCCCTTTTCCCAAACACCAGATATCCCAGCAGGCCTGGCTGTTAAGCGGGTGATATTTTCTTCCCAAATGTCACTATAAAATCATTACCAAATCACCCCTGGTTTCCTTTGGGTATAAACCTCCGCCAATGAATGTCATTTTGGTGAGGAAACGGCTACAAGGGTCTCATTGGCAGAACTGGGAGGCAGAGCTCCTGGATTCTCGCCTCGGCCCCATCTGATTGCTGTGTGACCTTGGGCTGGTCACCCCACCTCTCTGTGAAGTCCCCCTACAGTGCCAGCCTCCAGGGAGCCCGTGAGCTGACGCTGGTCCCTATCCAGAGTACTGACCGGGCTGGCAGCTGCTCTAATATCTGTACACATGGCCTGAGAGGTCACACACAGGCTCTCATGTCAAGGTCAAATCCATGTATCCAAAAGGCAAAGGAGAGGATGTCTCTCTGCTGTGATTCCTTGTTCTTTCTTACTGCTCCTCCTCGGCTCGGCCCGGTTCCTGGCCCAGGGCTGTGACAAGGGAACCCTGGGTCATGGTCCAGCCTTGGCCCAGCACTGGAGTCCTGTGTTCCGGCCTGGTTTTGCCAGGGGGCAGCTGGCTGATCTCAGGCTGGCTGTTCCTTGAAAGGAAGCATGTGGAACTTACAGCTGTGAGGGAAGATTGGGTTGCCCAGAGGTCCCCCGTTCTTCCTGGAAGTCTCCTCCCTCCCCCCAAAAAAAGCCAGAAGGGAATTGTCCCTAGGCTCAGCCTTTCTCACATTTTGCTGTCAGCATGGGAAGGATGGGGTGGGGGTGCCCCATAATGCTGCTCACTCTACCCAGTTGAATCACATCCCTTAACAAGATAGATTCAAGGCCTAACCCCCAAACCAGTGAATGTGAGTGTTTGCAGCTGTAATGAAGTGAGGTCATGCTGGATTAGGGTAGCCCTGCATTCAGCGACCGGGGTCCTTATGAGAAGAAAGGAATTTAGACACTGGCACACGGGGAGAAGGCCACGTCGTGATGGAGGCAGACGCTGGAGTAATATGTCTACAAGCCAAGGAATGCCAAAGATTGCCGGCAACACCGGGAAGAAGCTGAGAAGGTAAGAGAGGATCCTGCCCTCGAGCCTTCAGAGAGAGCACAGCCCTGCTGACACCTTGAACTTAGACTTCTGGCCTCCAGAATTATAAGTTTCTATTGTTTGAAGACCCCCAGTTTGGTTACGGCAGCCGCAGGACCCTCACACACTCACTGGCTGCTGTTACACATTTCTCAGGAGTCAACATTTTGAGGAAACACACGAAAATCAGCAGGTATGCCTTCACACTGAACATATCCAAATTCAAGGACTGGCCTTTATTCATGGCGTACGTCCTTCCTTCATTGCTGGCAATTAAGCCATCCTTCTATAAAGGGATGGTGGTCAATGACGTTCCATTTTACAGATGGGAAAACTGAGACTGGGCTGTACACCTTGCCCAAGCGAGTCCTCAGCGATCACGGCCACATCTCCTGCCACCCAGTCTAGCCAGTTCTGAGGAAGCAGAGCAGCCTCCTTCTTGCCCAGATGTTGGATCAAGTCCTTTGAATTCCCGGCAAGAGGGAGAGGTTCACGAGAAATTTCAGAGCTCAAATTAGGGCAGTTGACTGTGGCTCTGTAACCTGCTTTGTGGCAAGCCTGAGAAGTGACTGCGGTGCAGCAGGCTGGTGAGCCATCCCGCCCGGGTGGCACAGCTCTTTTTCATGAGCATAAACTGCCCTCGGCCCTGTTGAAACAAATGGGCTCCGTGCCCGAGGTTGTGGCTGCAGGAGTCTCCCCACCCAGTGACCTCTCCATCACTGTGCAGACCCTGTTGTCTGCTGGCAGCACCCACAGCAGTGTACCCTTCCGGGGAGGGGTTAGACTGGGCATGTCCAAACCGTCCCTCCCTAGAACACGCCAGGCACACACCAGCTGCCGGGAAGGCCAGGGTCACCCGTGCACAGCCGCAGGGGCCCAGAGAGCACCCGCGAACGGCACCACCTTTGAGGCTGGAACCCCATATTTCAGAAGAGGACACCGAGGCCCCAAGAAGAGTGACTTGTTTAAGTCCCAATATTTACAGCCTCCCATGTTGACAGAGAGGCAGGTGTGTCCTACGGGGCACACAGCGAGTGCATAGGAAGTCAGGGTGTGAATGGAGTGTTGGGAGATGGCTTGGGGCGGAGAGGGTTGAGGCCTGGGTACAGAGGGCGTCAGGGACTGTTCTGGGAGTCGGAACTTACTTCTGGAAACACAAGAGGACTGTAGCTGGGGTGTGAGGGTGGTCAGCTCACTATTTAGGTCCAAGTTACATTAGAGGATCAATTTCACCATTGATCCTCTAGTCCAGGGGTCCCCAACCCCTGGGCCATGGACCGGTACCAGTCCATGGCCTGTTAGAAACTAGGCCACATAGCAGGAGGAGAGTGGCGGGTGAGCGAGCAAAGCTTCATCTGTATTTGCAGCTGCTCCCCAGTACTAGCATCACCGCCTCAGCTCCACCTCAGATCGTCAGGCATTAGGTTCTCATAGGAGCACCGGTCCCTGGTGCCAAAAAGGTTGGGGACCGCTGCTCTAGTGCACGTCATGCTCGCTTCCTGAAAGTACGTCTGGTAACTAGCGGGCTCTCGCCACTGACGGCACCTCTGTCATTCGGTTTCTCAGGCTCAACACCCAGAGGTCATCCTCGATGCCTCGTTTTATTTTCTCGCGTCTCCAAATGCCGGGTTGTCTGTTACTCCACCCTCAAAATGCAGCATGAGTCCGGTCGCTTCTCCTACCCCACGGCCTCTACCTGGTCCAAGCTGCTGTCACCACTCATCGAGACTGTGCAGTGGCCCTTCCCACTGCTGTCCCTGTGAGCCCACACGCACCCCTGCGCTCTGTCCCAACGCAGCAGGCTGAGGGACACTCGGAAATTGACATCAGTTGGCTTCTGCGCTTCCTCTGCTCAGAAGCCCCTGAGGTCTTTCCATCTGCACTGAGACAAATAGTGTCCCCAAATAGTCACATGCATGCAGAGCCTGTGTGTGTGACCTTATTTAGAAATAGGGTCTTTGCAGATGTAATCGAGTTAACATGAGGTCATACTGGAGTAGGGTGGGCCCTAATCCAATGATTTATAAGAGAGGGAAATTTGGACACAGAGCAACACACAGACGAAAAGAAACAGCAAACATGTGAAGACAGAGACAGGGTGGAGTGATGCAGGAACACCTGGAGCTCGAAGCAGCAGGAAGGGTCCTCCCCGAGAGCCTTCAGATGGAGTATGGCCCTGCTGGTACCTTGATTTTGGACTTCTGGCCTCCCAAACCGTGAGAGACTAAATGTCTCTTGTTTTACGCCACCCAGTTGGTGGTAATTCGTTACAGCAACCCCAGGACGTGAATACAGTGGCCAAACATGGAGGGAAAGACTGCATCCTCTATCCACCTGTGAGACCCGCAATGCCCATCATATAGCAAAGGCTCTGAGAAGTCCTGCAGGGAAGGGCATGTTCCATTTTCCCAAGCTTATTCAATCATGAAAGCATTCGTTCCCACTACCCTGTAACCTCCTATGGGATACACTTTGGGAAATGTTCGACAGAAAAGCCCTAAGGTCCCTCCCGGATTGAAAATTCCATGGCTTTCGAGTTGGAAGCCAAACTATGAAACAAACAGAAATGTGTGTGCATAATTGACTATTATTTTTAAAAATAGCCCAAATGCTCTTCCATGGGGGGGGGGCCAGATCAGATAAGGGAGGAAAC